GGCTGCGGGGGCCCCGGAAGGGCAGCCGAGCCCACTGCCACAGGCCTCAAAGGCCCAGGAAGCCCCATCCTGCTGTGCCCATACCACGCGGTGGCCCAGGGCTGGGGATCCTGGAACTTACCACATGTCTACCCCACAGGCGTTTTTCACCCTCGCCAGAGACATCAAAGCGAAAATGGACAAAAAATTGGTGAGTGTATCCCCAGACCTTCACGAGGGCCCCTGTTGGGTCCGACCATCCTTTCCACAGTGGCATGACATGTTCCAGGCCAGATTCTGCTTTGGGGGGCCCCACCGCACCCAGTAGGACATTGCTGGGAAGTGGGGAGAGAGCGCAGGTGTGGTCGAGCAACTACGGCCGGCCACACTCCCCTCCAGCTCCCGGATCCCGGCCTGCCTCCCTCCAGCACGAATCCTCATGTGCCTTTCGGTCCGTTTCCAGAATGTCCCCCTGGAGCTTGAGCAGTTTGGTGGTCACGGCCCCCAGCACGCATGGCGTTTTCTTGGCTGAGTCCGAACGCTTCGCTGTATGCGGGGACAGTTAGTGCCAAAACACTGGCAGGACCCCTCCTCCCAAGCTGGAGTTTCAGTAGCCCCGCTTTCCTGGCTGAGTGATGTTCACTGTTTGATGGAAGAGCATAGAGCACTGAGCTCCCACATGACCGACCACAGTTCAAGTCCCAGATCCGGCAGCTTGAAAAATCACACTGGATGTGTGTGTTTGCATACCCACGATCCCGGAAGGAAAATGGTGAAGGGGTTACAGCATCGCCAGCCCCCTGAGGGTGATTTTTCACTGTCCCTCTCTCTGTCTCTCATTCTAGTTTTTTTTTTTTTTTAATATATTTTTAAAAAGAATTATTTATTTTATGTATTATTATGATTTTTAGATTTAACCAGAGAAAGAGAGAACGGGAAAGTGAGAAAGCAAGCCACCAGGTCGAGAACTCAAACTGCGTTCAGCCATGTGGGAGTCCGGTGCCTTAACCACCACGCCACCTGCTGGCCCTCTCTGTCTCTCTCCAGTGTGCACACACACCCTGTAGCAAAAATCTTTTAAAAAAAAAACAAATCTACTGGTGGGTTATTATTTTTATTTATTTATTCATTTTAATTTGACCAGAGGCTGGGGGAAGGGGGGGAGAAAGCAAACCACCAGGGCCAGGATTTGAACTGTGGTGAGCTATGTGGGAGTGTCCAGCACCTTAACCACCACGCCACCTGCTGGTCCCGTGTTGGTGGGTTATTTTAAGCTTAGTCATGCAGCAATGCACATTAAACACGAAACGTGGGGCCAGGCAGTAGCACAGTAGCAAAATGTGACTTGCTTTGAGTTGACCCCCATGAGAAGTTTTCAGTTCCCAGCTGGAGGTCTCTCTGGGTACGTCGTGTGCACACGTGTGCCCATGATCCAGGGCTGGCCCAAGCGTTAAGACCCTGTTGCGAGTGTCATCCCTCTGCCCTTTCGTGTCTCTCTCTCAGTCTCTTCCTCTTGTTCTGGAGGGCACAAGTCAGACACGGGTCTCACCCAGCTCAGGTTAAGGCTTCGGCAAGTTGGCGCTTACTTCCGGAGATTCCAGAGGAGTCTGGCTGCTGGAGGCCATTGCTCTCCTTGCCTGAGACCTCATCTCCTCCATCTGCACAGCCAAACACCAGAGACCAGCAGGTGGCCTAATGGTTAAGTCATTGGACTCCCACGTAGTCAACTGCAGTTCGAGTCTGGGACCCGGTGGCTTAAACTCACGCCAGGTGCATGTGCGTGCGTGCCCAAGATCCCGAGAGGAGAATGGAGGAGAAAGGATTGCGGCGTGGTCATCCCCCTAGGGGGTGATTTCTCGCTTTCTGTCTCTCTGGCTAGCGCATGCACCCTGTAGAAAAAAATCTCTCTTAAAAAAAAAAAAAAAAAAAAGCCAAACATTGAGCATCTCTCTAACCCCGCCTCTGTCATCACAGCGCGCTTTCTCTGAGCTCTGCTGAGAAGGCTGCTCGGCCTTGACGAGATCTTGGGCCCCTCTGGGATGGTCCAGGCTACTCTTCCCCCTCTCACCTTATTTTATTTATTTATTTATTTATTTTATTTTATTTTTTTTTTTTGGAGAGGTTTTCGCTATAGGGCCCATGTACTCACCAGACAGACAGAGAGAGACAGAAAGTGAGAAATCACCCCCAGGGGTGATGGTCACACCGCAATCCCTTCTCCTCCATTCTCCTCTTGGGATCTTGGGCACGCACGCACACGCGCCTGGCGTGAGTTTCAAGCCACCGGGTCCGGGACTCGAACCGTGGTCGACTACATGGGAGTCCAGCGACATAGCCACTATGCTAACTGCTGGTTCCCCCCCCCTCACCTTAATCATACCTGTAGGATCTCTTTTTCTGTAATTTTTTTTTGTTTGTTTATTCTGTGGGTTGGCCCTACAGCCTAGTGGTGAGAGGCGCTAGAGTCCATTTGGCCAACCCCTTGGTTCAAGTCCTGCCAAAGAACTCACCAGGTCGGGCCCGGCAGGTGGCATGGTGGCTAAGGCACTGAACTCCCATGTGGCTGACCATAATTTGAGTCCTGAACCTGGTGGTTTGCTTTCTCACTTTCCCTTTCAAACAGAAGAGAAAGAAACACACCAGGCATGTGTGCGTACCTGCCCCAAATCCCCAAGCCCCCCAAATGTCTCGATGGAGAAATGGAGAAGGGATTGTAGTGTGACCATACTCCATTGGGGGGATACTTTCTCCCTCTCCCTCTCTGCCTGTCTTTCTCTGGCAAGCACAAGTGCCCTCTGGCATATGATAAAAAAGTATATCTTGGTGGGTGGGCCCGTATGGCACAGGACTTTGGTCCCAGGATGGCGGTTTTTCCCACGTGCGCCAGGGGAGCAGCACAGGAGTGGGGAGGACGCAGGAAAAAAAAAAAAAAAGTATATCTTGAAAGGTGCTGGCAGGTAGTCTGGTGGTTAAGGATGCTGGACTCCCACATGACCGACCACAGTTGGAGTCCCGGACCTGGCATCTTGCTTTCTCACTTTCCCTCTCTCTCACTCTGTTCCCCTCTGGTCAAATTAAAATAAATATATAAATAAATATAAATAAAATAATACTTTTTTTTTTTTTTAAAGTATGTCTTTAGGAGAAAAAAGGGACCCCCGAGAGAGCAAGCGAGCGAGAGCGCACGCAAAAAAAAAAATCACACGCCAGGTCTGGTACTCAAACCTCCGTCCGCTCTGTGGGAGTCCAGCACCCTTAACCACCACGCCACCTGCCAGCCCGCCTCCTCCAGTCTTTCAGCCAGCCAGGATTGCAGGCATACCTGGCGTGCGCAGATCAACCTGGGATCCGAGCCCCAGGTCTTCTTATGTGTCTTTTTTTCAGGGTGTAGACATAGTTGGGGGCTGGTACCTAACTCACCACCACCCCCCCGTTACCAACTGTGGTCTCATTTCTTCATTCCACAGCGTCTCTGTTCAGGCACTGTCGTCACAACACCCCTCCCACTGCTCGCCTCGTCCCCTTTCTGTCTCATTACTCACCGCGAGGGGGACTCACACTGCTCTGTGCTTCCCTGCATGATTTTTTTATTTTCCTTTTTTTTTGCTATAGTGTTTGTGCACTCACTGGAGAGAGACAGACACAGAGAGAGAGGGAGGGAAAGTGAGAAGTCACCCCCAGGGAGGATCCCTTCTCTACTCTCTTCCCAGAATTTTGGGCACACACACACACACTTGGTTGATGTGATTTTTCAGGTCACCAGGTCTAGGACTCAAACCACACAGTGAGCCATGTGGATCCAACACCTTAACCCTCACACCACCTGCTAACTCAGTGTGGTTTGTTTTTTAAGTGTATTTATTTAAAGAATTTTTTTATTTAACTTTATTTATTTTAATTTGACCAGAGAGAGACAGAGTGAGAGTAAGAGTGAGAGAGAGAGAGAGAGCAAGTCGCCGGGTCTGGTACTCAAACTGCGATCAGCCATATGAGAGTCCAGTGCCCTTAACCACCACGCTATTTGCTGGCCCCGTGTTTGTTTATTTCTAACATGAACCAGAGATCGAACAGAGTCCTGATGCTACAATCCAGCCTCAGCCAGCCCCAGGGCATGTGCATGCTGGGCATACTCAGGGAGGTCTCTGGACATGAACCCACAACCTCCCCATGGTGGGCCTTTTATCTGCCATTGCGTGCCCAGTGCTCAGAAAAGCATGTCGTAGACGTTCAATACTTAGTGCCGAGTTAAGTTAGGCTTTACCTAAGAACTTGGAGATGAGAATGAGTTAGTCAAAGAAAGGGAGGATGAGGCTTTCAAATAGGGTGAGGTGGGGGAACCAGCAGATGGAGTAGCAATTACATCACTAGACCTCCACATAGTCAACCGCAGTTCAAGTCCTGGACCCAGCGGCTTAACACTCACACCAGGCGTGTGTGTATCTGTGCCCAAGACCCCGAGAATGGCGTAGAAGGGATTGTGGTGTGGCCGTTCCCCCCGGGGGTGATTTCTCGCTTTCTGTGTCTCTGGTGAGCACATACTCCCTATAGCAACAAAAAAAAAGAGAGAAAGAGAAAAAGGGAGAAAGGGAGGAGAGGAAGGAGGAAAAAGAAAAACAATAACAAATAGGAAAAGGTGGGAGAAGACAGGATTTGAGTTTTCAGAATCAGCATATCAGATCACAGAGGCTTTGAATGCTGGGCGACAGATATGGGGCATTCTTCTGAAACAGCGAAAGCACTGATGGGTCATGGGGAACCATCGACATGATTAGGTCTTAAATCACTGGCAACAGGGAAGGTAGATGAAAGGGAAGAGATGGTGAGGCTGAGCCATACCACAGGAATATGGTATGTAAGGGGCAGCAGGACCCTCAATTCAGACCCCACAAATCCCAGGGTTCACAGTCTGTCCATCGCTCTTTGGCTGCCTTGATGGTAGATGCTTAGCACAGATAGGTAGATGGCTGGGAAGAAGGAAGGAGGAGAGGGTGAATGAGTGCAAGGAAAGAAGTATGGAAGGAAGCGGGGGCGGGGAACAAAGGAATGGTTGGAAAGATATTAGAAGGGTGAGTGGAAAGGCATGTGGGTAGGCAAATGAGGTATTGAGAGAACGAGTGGTTGGATGGGGTGGTGAGTAGTGAATGAAAGATGAATGTCGGTTGGAAGAGACAGTTGGATGGGTGGATTAGTTGGAAATGGGATGGGTGGATGGAAAGGGGATGGGTGGATGGAAAGGGATGGATGAATGGTTGGTTGGTTGGTTGGAAAGGTTGGTATGGGTGAATGGTTTGTTGGAAATGGAATGGACAGATGCTTGGTTGAAAGGAGGATGGATGGATGGTTGGTTGGTTGGAAAAGGGATGTATGGTTGGTTGGTTGGAATGAGGATGGAAGGTTAGTTGATTAGCAAGGGTTTGGATGGCACGTTGGTAGGTTGGTTGGTTGGAAAGGGGATGGATGTATGGTTGGTTGGTTAGAAAGTGGATGGATGGATGGAATAGGGATGGGAGGGTGGTTGGTTAGTTGGTTGGAAAGTAGATGGGTAGACAGTTGATTGGAATAGGGATGAAAGGGTGAGTGGTTGGTTGGTTAGAAAGTGGATGGATGGATGGATGGGTGGATGGAAGGATGGTTGGAATAGGGTTGAAGGGTGGGTGGTTGGTTGGAAAGTAGATGGATGAACGGTTGATTGGAATAGGGATGGAAGGATGGATGGTTGGTTGGTTGGCTGGAAAGTGGGTGGATGGTTGATTGGAATAAGGATAGAAAGGTGGTTGGTTGGTTGGTTGGTTGGTTGGTTGGTTGGAAAGTGGATGGATGGATGGTTGGTTGGAATAGAAATGGAAGGGTGGATGGATGGATGGAATGGAGATGGAAGGGTGGTTGATTGGTTGGTTAGTTGGAAAAAGATGAATGGTTGGTTGGTTGGAATGGGGATCAAAGTTTGGTTGGTTGGAAAATAAATGAATGAATGATTGGAAGGAGGGCGATGGCTAGACGGATATTTGGTAGGAAGGTAACAGATAGATAAATGGACCCACAGATGATTGGTTTTGCATAAGACACAATGCCGATCCTCCATGGTGACCTCAGAAAACCTCTTCTGATTTCAGGAAGGCAATAGCCCCCAGGGGAGCAACCAGGGAGTCAAAATCACAACAGAGCAGCAGAAGAAGAGCAGCTTTTTCCGATGTGTTCTTCTGTGAGGAACGTCGCCTTACTCTGAGCCTCGCTCAGCCGAGTTGACTGTGCCTGTTCTGAGTGAGCCCTCACTCAGCCGGGGCCCTCCCACCTCCAACGCCTGGCCCGCGCCGTGGCCACCGGGCCCACGGCCACCAGAATGCAATTGAGAAATCGTTTATTTTAGTAACTGTCTGATCTTTTTTCAACTTTGGAGATGGAATTCGTGAAGAATTTGCTATTTTTCCTGTAATGTCTGCTGAACGGGCCCACCCATGCATCACGTACCAAGAAAAACAAAATGGCGTCAGGGGTGATCTTCAACAGGAACCAACATGGTGGGCCTCCATCTCTGGCCCTTTCATTCCTTATCTGGCTGTAACACACAGGCCCACCAGAAAGCCCATCTATGTGCCCCACCATGGAAACAAGGCCCCCCAAAGGCCAGCAGTGGTTCCAGGGGTGTCAGGACCCACACCCCAAGCAAAGTCACCAATCACCAGGCCCAGGAAGCATCCACTCAACAAATCTGTACCTGCTTTCAAAACCTCTTCTCTATTTTGGACAGACGACAAAATCCATTTTTCCCTTCTCTCTTCTTTTCACTGTCAAACCAAAGGGAAGCACAAATTAAGGAAATCCATAAAGCATTTCGAAGGAAAGAAGTACCGGGCCGCCTCTCCTGTTCACGGCCAGGGTTAGATCCGAGATCCAGTCTGGTCCCTCCGCAGTCCCGATCTGAACACCGGCCGGATGTCGTGCCCGCTACAGTGACCCTCCCCAACAACACAACCGCACGCGGTCCTCCCTAACCGGAGGGCAGCCCAGAGGAGGGCACCCCCATGGCCCCCACACTTCCTTGTCCTTCGTTCATCTCCAAATCAGATGTTCTTTCTAGCTGAGATTTTTATTTTTCCAGATGTGTAGTGCCATGAGATGATTCCGTCTTTGATTTCCAAAGGCAGACCAGGTGATCGGGAACAAAGCATGTCGTGCCCCTGGCTGGACAAGACTGAGGGCACAGGGCGGCGCCACCCGCCCAGGCGCCAGGCCCGGGCCGAGACACAAGCATTCCACGGCGACAGACTGACCACACAGCAGTCCGGGTGGGTTTTGAACTGTCACTAGTTGGTTCTATTTTGACAGCTCTGCTCTCCCGTAGAGACTGCGATGGGGACCGGGAAACCAAGCCAGAGGGGTGTCACTAGGGAGCCTTTCTTTTTGTTTGTTTTTTTGTTTGTTTTATTTTTTTCCCCTCTCTTCTCTCCTTCCCCCAAAGCTACTGTTAGTCCAAGCCATTGACCTCATCCCCTCTCTTCTCTCCTTCCCCCCCAAGCTACTGTTAGTCCAAGCCATTGACCTCATCATTTCTTCTTTTTTTTTGAATTAAAACCAACAAACCAGCAATAGTTCGCCGTCCCCTGGAATCTCTCACGTGCCCTGTTTACATCCTTCGATGCACTTAAGGAACACAAATTAAAGCTCATTGAAAAGCTGACAGGTTTTCATGTCCACCTTTCCCCTGTAAGCCCCACACATGCGGCTAGGTGTCGGTGGTGGGTTCAAAAGATGCTGTCTTCAAGGGACCAGCAGTTAGTGTAATGGGTATATTGCTGGACTCCCATGGAGTCGACCACAGTTCGAGTCCCGGACCCAGTGGCTTAAACTCACGCTGGGCGTGTGTGCATGTGTGCTCAAGATCCCGAGAGAAGAATGGAGAAGGGATTGCGGTGTGGCCATCCCCCCTGGGGGGTGATTTCTCACTTTCTGTCTCTCTGTCTCTCTCTGTCTTTCTGGTGAGTGCTTGCACCCTATAGCAAAAACCTCTCCAAAAAAAAAAAAAAAAAAAAGTGCAGTCTTCTTATGTGGTTTTCTGCCACCATACAATACCTGAAACTGGGTAACTTACGAAGAAGGGAAGTTTGGTACATGGTTTAGGGGGTAGGAGAGGCTAAGAGCAGGCGCTGACATCTGGTGGCAGCCTTCTTGCAGTAACAAACGTGGCAGAGGGTCTCACGTGGCAAGAGGAGAAGCAAGCCTATGAGAAAGGCTTTGAGAGTGACCAGAGCCTGTACTTTTTTTTTTTTGGGGGGGAGAGGTTTTTGCTATAGGGCGCGTGCGCTCACCAGACAGAGACAGAAAGCGAGAAATCACCCCCCCGGGGGAATGGCCACACTGCAATCCCTTCTCCATTCTCCTCTCAGGATCTTGGGTATGCACACACATGTGCCCGGCATGAGTTTAAGCCACTTGAACCACGGTCGACCACATGGAAGTCCAGCTACATAGACATTAACACCAACTGCCACCCTCCCCCGCCCCCACGTGAGTTTTAAGCCACCAGGTCTGGGACTCGAACCGCAGTCAACTACATGGGAGTTCAGTGACGTAACCATTATGTCATCCACTGTCATCCTGTTTTGCCAGAAACATATGTACTTGCCCGAGAGAGAGAGAGGACCAGCAAGTAGCATGGTGGTTAAGGTGCCGAAGGCCCACATAGCCAACTGCAGTTCAAGTCCTGGGCCTGCCAGCTTGCTTTCCCACTTTCTCTCTCTCTCTGTGTGTCTGGTAAGTGAGATAATAGTAACAGTAAATAAAATTAAACAAAAATTCTTAAAGCTATTTTCTGTCTTTCCCTGTTCCTCCCGAATGCATGAAAAAAAAAAGAAAAAATAAACACACGTGTACACACACACACACACACACACACACCACACGGTGGAGTCCAGAGGAAACTAGACACAGGCTTCCAGAATCTTCCCCCAATAGGGTCACACACCGCATGCTTAATTTCCTTGGCAACAAGCTGTGACAGTATGTGTGCAATGTGACCGTCACGGAAGATTATAGGAGACTTGGTGCCACTTGGTCCTTGGACTTTTGGCTAAGGTTAAGTGTAGAGACATGGCACCCAAGTTTTTGAGTCCAGAGGAAACTAGACACAGGCTTCCAGAATCTTCCCCCAATAGGGTCACACACCGCATGCTTAATTTCCTTGGCAACAAGCTGTGACAGTATGTGTGCAATGTGACCGTCACGGAAGATTATAGGAGACTTGGTGCCACTTGGTCCTTGGACTTTTGGCTAAGGTTAAGTGTAGAGACATGGCACCCAAGTTTTTATTGGGAATGGTCTCACGGGCTTCCTGTGCTTGGCACCTACCAAGATTTGAGACTCCCGCGAACAATACAGGTGTTGAGGATAGACAGCATGAGGGACCAGCAGTTGGTGTAATGGCTATGTCGCTGGACTCCCATGTAGTCAACTGTGGTTCGAGTCCCGGACCCAGTGGCTAAAACTCACGCCAGGCGTGTGTGCATGCGTGCCCAAGATCCCAAGAGGAGAATGGAGGAGAAGGGATTGCGACAGCATGATTTGGTTTTTGTTTGGTTGGTTGGTTGGTGTTTGTTTTTAGAGGTTTTTGCTACAGGGCGCCTGTGCTCACCAGGGAGACAGACAGAAAGCAAGAAATCACCCCCCAGGGGAGATGGCCACGCCGCAATCCCTTCTCCTCCATTCTCCTCTCAGGATCTTGGACACGCACGCACATGCGCCTGGCGTGAGTTTAGGCCACCGGGTGTCCAGGACTCCAACCGCGGTCAACTACATGGGAGTCCAGCGACATAGCCATTACGCTAACTGCTGGTCCCTAGACAGCATTATTTGTATAAAAAGTTTTAGTGTTGGGGCCAGCAGGTGGCGTAGTGGTTAAGGTGCTGGGCTCATAGCCATCGCCGACCACGGTTTGAGTTCCGGACCCAGCAGCTTAAAATTCATGTCTGGCACATGTGCATGCAAGCCCAAAATCTGGAGAGGAGAATGGAGGAGAGGAGATTGCAAAGTGGCCATTTCCCTTGGGGTGCGCTTTCTCACTTTCTGTCTCTC